GTTACGTACAGTTATTTTATTTGTGGCCTCGTGTGTCTTCATTCATGTATAATGTACCTCAAACACATTTAAAATTTGACCAAAATCTGCTTGCTTGTCTTCAGCAGCAGAGACCCGCACACGAGTACTCTGAACACGTTTTTCCAGTAGCGGTCAGGCCGGCCTATTCCAGAATCAGCCCCCGTGCGTTTCCTCTGCACATCACGAACCTGTTTGTTTACGTCTGTTTGTATATAATAAATCTTCTCTTTAGAAGTCTCAATGTCATTGTTGTTGTTGTTGTTGTTGTTGTTTTTTCGGTGTATAACGTGAAGAAGTATATATTTGCACAGGATGAATAATAATAACAGTTGAAGTTGGGTATGTCTCTTTACAGTCTTGCGTTTGTTGGTTTTCGCCTTGTCTGACTTCTGAGGGCAGTTCACGATCATTCTCCCTTCGCCGCTGCAGTTGACGATTATCCATTCGCAATAAACAAAATCATATGAAAACATATTCAAATATATTCCAACCCTCCTTTCATAAACAACACAAAAAAAAATCCCCTTAAGTAACAATTCACGAAAAAAAGAAAACACCAAAAAAATGCCTTACCGCACAAATCACGAAACAATAATAACAACAACAACTCCAAATATTCCCTTAACTAACAAATCACAAAAAACTTAAAACGACAACAACAACAACAGCAGCAACAACAAAATAATTTTAAAAGTAATAAAATCTCTCTCGAATATGAAGCCTGAAGTCTCCGCGCCCACAGGAAGCGACAACACGAACCGGAGATAAAGAGCGACTTGTATCACAAAAATCAGGTGACTTCGATTCGCCTGAGACATCGCTTAGCAGGGGAGTTAGTCGCTCGCTTATCAGGACTTATCGGATGCGAGTCTTAGAAGCGTGTGATGAGGTGAGGGGGTGGGGGGGTGGGGTGTAGACTGGAGTTGGGGATGGGATTGAGAAGAAAGGGTGGGCTGAAGGAGGGAGGGAGGGAGGGAAGGAGGGTGAGATAGAGGATGAGTTGGAAGAAGGAATAGCGAGGGAGAGAAAGACAGAGAGAAAGAGGAAGAGAGGAAGAGAGAGAGAGAGATGACGATGGTGATGATGATAATAATAATGATAATTGATATTGTTATCATCATTACAATTATCATTATCAGCATAACTATTATCATCATAATCGTTATTAAAACTATTATTATCATCCTCAACATCATTATCAACTGTTATTACAATTACTGTTATCTTTACAATTATTATCATAATAATGATGATGACGATATCAGTACCATTAATATTATCATTAACAATTATAATAATGATCAGAATAAAAAATACAATAATAAAGATTTTAATCACCGTGATCTTTATTATCAGAACAATAAAGTCTTATAACAACGACTATGAGAAGATTAACAATATATATATATATATATATATATATATATATATATATATATATATATATATATACATACATATATATATATACATATATATATATACATATATATATATATATATATATATATATATATATATATATATATATATATATATACATATATATATATATATATATATATATATATATATATATATATATATATATATATATATATATGTATGTATGTATATAAATAAACATACATATAAATCAACATAAAGAATACAAATAAATTATCTCAACAAATACTATTAAAAAAGGAGCCCAATAAAATATATTAACAAAATACCGCAATGCAAAATCCTATCGCAATAACCTAATAAATCAAGAAAAAATAGATAAAATAACCCAAAAAGAAAACAACAAACAAAACAACACAACAATAATAAAAAAAAACAAACTCTTTTACTAAAACAAAGCCTCAGCAAATAAACACTGTAAATAAAGCTTCTTCTTTGTATCTACTCGCAGTCCTTAAGCTTTCTGGAGACGAGGGCGCGAGGCAGACACCACAGCGTACGATACATGGCGGGCTGTGTTCCGTAAATACCCGAGCCGACGATGGGCGTAGCGTGTGCATTAGGGCGTGAAGAGGAATTATGCAACTTGCGTAGGAGATTATGGTCTGTCTGTGCCTGTCTGGCTGTCTCTCTGTCTGTCTGTTTGTTTGGGTCTTTCTTTCTTTTTCTCTTTTATTTTCTTTCTTGTGGTATCTGTTTCTGTCTTTTTCCTACTCCCTTTCTCTTTCCTTCTTTTCTCTAATATTGTCTTCTCTTTTTTTCTTTATCATCCACCTCTCGCTCCCGCTTTCTCTTTCTCTTTCTCTCTCTCTCTCTCTCTCTCTCTCTCTCTCTCTCTCTCTCTCTCTCTTATCCCCCATCTCTCTCTCTTTCTTTCTCTCCTTTTTCCTTTCATTCTTCCTCTTTCCTCTCCCTTCCCCTCTCTTCCTTCCATCTTCCTTTCCCTTTACATCTCTCCACTCCCTCCCCTCCTCCTCTTTCTCTTTCCTCTCCTTCTCCTTTCCTCTCACCTCTCACCTCCTCCCCCCCCTCCCCATCTCCGTCTCTCAACATTTCCCTTACAAACCAAACACCCACATCGCGCAGAAGGCCTTAAAACCCCCAACAGATCCCACTCTAAAACCAAGACTAACTCCATCGGCATTCCGTGAAGAACGTAAAAAAAAGGAGAGAAAATGGGGAAATGAGTCACGCAGAGGGCGAAGACTCAGCGGCCTCCGTCAGGCGAGGCTTTATAATGCAATTTGGGCCGCGGCGACGACTTGTGGCTGGCTTAGACATCGCTGTCAGACGACTGCAATATATGACCTCAGATTTATTGCTGGTTGAGTATGATGTTGCTGGCGCGTCTTCCTACGAGCCTATGTTGTTCCTCTATGTTGCGGTCGTTTTGGTTGGGCGATTTGGTGTCTGGTTGGTTATGTTGCGGTCGGTTTGGTTGGACGTTCTCGTGTTTGGCTGTACGTGGGAGGGTGGGCTTCAGAGTTCGAGTGCATGTACACAAAAAATAAAAACGTAAATACGGTTATATGTAAGCGCAAACACGTGCATTTGTATAGAGATCAAGAGATAAGTAGAAAGATGGGTTTGGAGAGAGAGAGAGAGAGAGAGAGAGAGAGAGAGAGAGAGAGAGAGAGAGAGAGAGAGAGAGAGAGAGAGAGAGAGAGAGGGAGAGCGAAAGTAAGTAAGTAAGTAAGTAAGTAAGTAAGTAAGTAAGTAAGTAAGTAAGTGAGTGAGTGAGTGAATGAGTGAGAGAGGGATCCTTTAACAGTAACCTTTCACACTGCAACCATTCGCGAACGGCATGCTGTTCGGGAGGCTTGCACACCTGAATCGCCAAAATCCTCCCCTTCCCCTTCCCTCACTCGCCCATACAAAGCTAAACAATATGTATGCATGTACTGCACACTGTATATCCGCCCCTTGACAGGCTGCAGAAGGCCCTCCGCCCGGCCGGACGGGGAGCAAATATATCGTCTCGCTCCGCCAACGCCCACAAAAAGGGAGACCTTTGCACACCCGCGACCAATGCAACCCCTCTCTTCTTTCCCCTTCTCCATTTATTCTCTCCTTTGTTCTTTATTTCCCCTTTTCCTTTTACTCTCTCCTTGTGTCTCTACTTCCCTTCTTCTTTTACTCTCTTTTTCTCCCTATTTCCCCTTCTTTTACTCTCCCCTTCTCCTTTTACACTCCCTTTGTCACTCTACTTTCCCTTTTCCCTTCACCATCCTTTCTTCTCTCCTCTCCCTTCTTCTCACCCTATCTCACCACTTCCTTCACCCCTTTTTACGTTTAGCTTCCCCCCCTCCCCTTCCCCTTCCCCACTTTTCTCCATACCATTCATCCCATACCTCTCCATACTGCACCGTTCTCTGCAGTTGATCTTCCGTTGCCTCGCTGCCTAAGGGGCTTCCAGTATCAATATTCAGAATTTTTTTCGGACGCCCATAATTATTTGATTCTAATCGCACCACTGCCCATACACCATACCTTCATCGTAAAGTACAATCGACCCCCAATCCAGTGCCCTCTCGCCTGACCTTATCCCTCGTCCGTTTTTTTCTTCCCCCTTTCCCTTAAAAGGTCCCCTCCCTCCCTCCCTCCCTTCGTTCTAATTCCACCTCCCGCTCCTCCTTTCCCTCCCTCCCTCCGCCTCCTGTTTTCCCTCCCTCCTGCTTTCCCTCCCTCCCTCCGCATTCTCCTTTCCCTCCCTCCCACTCTCTCCTCCTTTCCCTCCCTCCCACACCCTCCTCCTTCCCCCCTCCTCCTTTCCCTCCCCCTCCTCCTCTTCCCTTTTCCCTCCAATCCTCTTCTCTCCCTTCCCTCCACCCCCTCCCTCCCTTCCCCATCCCCTGCCCCCCCGCCCCCCGCAATCCAAGGCATCCCCATCCGCTACGAGTCCCGTGTACTAAGGAGCGGCCGTCTCCTCCTCCGCCGCCGCCCGACGCCCGTGCGAGCGAGGAACGAGTTCTGTGCCCACGCCCATCTGGTCCTCCGCCGCCGCAGCTGAGGCACCGCGCCCACCACGCCCTTCGGACATACCGTGGGCGCGAGGCGATCTTGACGGCGAGTTAAAATGGATGCTTCTAACCTGAAATCATCAAGTCCGCTCTTGGCTTGAGATACGTTTTATCTTTGTTATTTTTTGTGAATTGTTTTATTTTTTTCTGTTAATTCCGCTCAACATCGTCCATTTTCTCTCGTTTTCTTTGTCTCTCCGTTCGCTTTACACGGGGATAAGACGATGATAAGATGTAAAGATAAGAAACTAGACAGTCACTCACCTTTGTGTAGTGCAATTAAGCCTTTCATTAAATCCTACCATGAAGAATGCAGTGCAGACTGAATAAAGACGCAGAACATTGCAATTAACCTAATTTGCATAGGCGCCTCAGGTAAAAATGCAAAGAATTCACTAGAGAGAGAGAGAGAGAGAGAGAGAGAGAGAGAGAGAGAGAGAGAGAGAGAGAGAGAGAGAGAGAGAGAGAGAGAGAGAGAGAGAGAGAGAGAAAGAAAGAAAACACTGTACTCACGTCTGTTGTTATGCCTGTTGCCATGTCTCCGCTTCCAGTCATTCTTCAGGTTCTTCTTATTAAGTCTTCCGTTGTTGAATTTCCGAGTCCTGTTGAAAAATCTGTTTTTGGGCTGCCAGTTCCGCCCCCACTTGCCCCGCCCCCCCTCAGCGGCGGCCAGGCCCGACGCCTCCTGGCGCTCCTTCTTCCGCCTCTGCTTTCGGTGCCAGTTCCCGTCCCTCCTGCGGCCGCCGGAGCTCCCCGACCTGTGCTTGCGGTCGTGCCTGCGACGAGCGCCCTCCTCGGCGGCGGAGGCAGCGGAGGCGGTGGTGGCGTTGCCGCCGCCCGGCTGGTCTGGCCACCCGCCGCTGCCTAGGTCCGTGAAGAGTTTGTACGGACCGTAGAGGAGGTCCTTCGTATTGCTGACGCTGGCGACGTCGGCCTTGGTGCTCCTGTGGGCGTGGATCAGGTCGCCGCTCTGGTTGTCGATGAACCTGATGGGCGCAAAGCCGGGCGACTCGGCCTCGTCCGCGGCCGCGCCGGCGGAGCAGCAGGTGAGGCTCACGACCAGCAGATACTTGCCCAGCATCGTCGCGAAAGTCGGTACGACCCAGCTACTGATCACGTGAGACGCGGTGCGCTCCTCGCATAATATCGCTTCACTAAACATCACATCAAATCAACAGATTCACGTTGAGATTAAAGCTAACAGTTTCCTTAGGGAGTCCCCGGCATAGCGGCAGCAAAAGGCAATTCGTGCGCCTCCACTCGGAAACATTTTCTTGGCGTGGTCGCGTCACTTCACATCGTGTCGTATATCTTCCACAGCAACATCTTCCAAAAAAGTTATCAGGTGGTCTTCTCCGAACAGTCCGCGACGCCTGATAGCTTTCTACGGCTCCCTTGAGATCTCCGTCGACCTTGATAATTATCTCTTAATGAATATCACGCGATACAGACAATCGTGATTCTGTCAGAGAATCTTGTTTACGTAAAATATCTTGACTGCTCCTTCGTTTCAGCCGAAACTGATACGCGTCATGCCTGTAAAGAAAAAAATATCACTGTTATATGAATGCGCTTAATATAACAGAGACACACAATATGCAAACCTCTTTATCTATCGTAAATATCTAATGGCAATGCTTCTGCCACGTGAGTCATATACACGATCAGTGATTTAGATATAATAATAAATTAAAGAAGACCGTCTATTAACTAAACGGCATTAGGAAACAAAATAATCACTCGAGGTATGTGAATCGACGATTGAATGAACTCAAAAGACAATAAAGACAATTAGAAAAGAAGAATTGTAAAAATGAATCATAAACCGACAATGATAATAACTATAATAGCTTTATTATTCCATCTTAGTAACGGAGACTATTTACTGAGGGAAGATGACTATGAATTTAAGTAAAAAAAGATACATTAACTAACCAATCTGGCAACCATTCAGTCATGGCGCAACAACTGATTAGTGTTAAGAGTTAAACGAAACAATGTGAAATGATGATTTTTTTTTATAATTCGTTTCCTAGATGTCAGATATTTTTTCTGATTCATGCTTTATAATCAGTGGGAAGTTTCCTTTTTCCCCTTTAGCGTATGACATTCTTTGGAAATTTGTTGTTTACATATTAATGTACGTGTGCATTCGAAAATACGCATTTGTATGATACGTGGTTACAATAGTTTCCGAATAGCAATATTTCTGTAAGTGCTATGAACGATGATTAATATGGAACACTATATTTTATACAACTTTTTTACAGTTATAAGATATACATATGAATATTCACAGCAAAACAGATCCCGTAGTAATTTAATGTAATACTTTGAATTAGAATTTAAAGCATTAATAAATGTAACAAAGCATTTTTTAAATGAAGATAAGAAAACACGGGAGAAGAAGAATACACAGAGCCATCTATCGTTCCTTAATTGTAATTCTGGTGTTTGTTTCTACATAATTTTTCATTCTTTCAATTTCCGTGCGTGTTTGTGTGCATGTGCGTGTGTGTGATCCAAGTGACATGTTTTATCGACTGGGTAATACTGACGCATATATTATGCTGCCTGTAAACACGTCAACTATACTGATGACTCGACGGTTAAGAGGCCGTATATATAAAGTGTTTGACAATGTGGTTTAGACCCCTATAGCGTCTTGCGTGAACAATTCTTATGCTTTAAATACCAATTACATGTTGCGATTTATATGTTGTATAACTTCTGCAGTTGAGTTTACATCCCATCTTTGGCTTCCAGTATACAAATCATTAATAAACAACAAACACTAACGATAAGTTATTATTAAAAAAAATGGAAATCAATATCGCCATTCTCAGCACTGTAATCAAATGACAGGAAATGAAATTTAACCCAAAAAGACCAAAAGAAAGAAGTCAGTCTTTCTCTTCCTCTTCTCCATCCCCCAGAAAAAAAACACCCGAGCCGAATAACCTGTGCTTTCTCCTCTCACTCTCCCTTGTGCTTTCACAACCACTCGTAAGCTGAGCAGTGAGCAAGCAGGAAATAACAGCTTGTGAGAGAAATAAACACCCAGATGACACAGAGGCAACGAGGTAAGCTTTACACAAACGGTCCCTGTCTTCTACGTCACTTTGATGAGGGCCATAAAACTCTTTATTATTTAGGGCTCCAACTGCGTTATTTCTTTATCACATCTTTGCGAGAGGAAGGTGAATGTAAATAAAACAAGAGGGGGAAAGTGAGGGGAAACAGAGGGAGAGAGAAGGATAAGATATAAAAATAAAGAACAATAATGATGAAGAAACAAAGTTGGGAGAGAAAGAAAAATAATCTTTAAAATATAGGACGCTCTACATATAAAATAATAATAATAATAATAAAATCTCCCAAGCTCTCTAAAGTGCCTAAGAACCTCCGTGTCTCCCTTGCGGATGCACCGTGACAAATTTCTCGCTATTTTTGGCCGCCATATTGGGTCTCCCGGTCGTGTGCGGTTCGCCCGGCAGGACACCCTCGCCTGCCTGCTTTGGGCCGCGCCGTAAACGATGATCTACAGCACTGACATGCGTCTTCATTTGCGAACAATATAACGCCTCATTCGCCAAGTGGCAGATATATGCAGAGGAGAATAATAAAGACTGAATTAATGGGGTCCTTGCAACGCCAGGGTGAAGATAATATATGTATGCAATATAAAAGGAAATGTTCTTTGATATATAACGTGGAGAGCTGCAGGTGGAGGGTAAAGAGGATGGGAGAGAAGAAAGAAAACACTTCCTTCTTTCCATATCTAGTCTGGTGGTCTCGCAGCACGATCTATTCACACTCGCGCCTTTAATTTTCCCAACGATATAGCACCACACTCGAGCTTCAGTAACACTAATGTTGCTCGTCCTAAATGGCTCTTACCGCTGCGTTTGTTTTTTTTTTTTTTACTCTTACGGTCACAGAGAAGTAGAAAAGAAAGTGGGGGGAAATTTTCATGTAGGTGCGTTGTCTTACATTCTTCTAGATAATCTATAAAACTATTTTATGTGAA